TTTGAGTTAGGCTGGCAATCGCGTTAGGTAAGTATACTAGCGCGTTAACGCTAGAGTATTATTCGAGAGACTTTGTAGACTTTTGCTATATCTCTTTAAGACTTAATTTAATCTTAATTAATAGCTAAGATTGCTAGCTGTATATTAGATTTATAAGAGACGTTGCGGGCTTAATTTGATAGGTGTAAAGGGCTGCGCCCGTGATCTCTACTGAAGAGGATCACGTGATCTTCGACCACGTGATATACCTTCTGTACGGACACGTGATCAGAAGCGAGCAGGTATAAGAGAAGTCTGTACTTAGTTATCTTCTCTTTTTCTTATCTTTTAGCTTCTGTACGATAGGTAGAAGCATACTTATTCGCTAGGCCTCTCCGCCCATAACATAAGCTAAAAGATCACTTTAACCCTTCTTACTCTTTTCTCTCGTACGGAGCGAGAGAGAATTGAGAATGCAAAACGAACAAGATATAACAATAGGGCTACATAAGCCTATGCCAAACCTAGAACCTAGTAACGCCCCGCCAAGGCCTCCGACGTACGAGGAGCTCGCAGAAAGCTAGAGCCAACTTAATGCAACAAATAATCTACTCCAACGAAACCTAGACCAAATAGCTACAAGACTTAAGGACGCTAAAGGCGTACGAGAAGAACTCCAAGAGATGAAAGCCCTTTTCCTCCGTACGGCACAGGGGCAAGCTACCCCTAACGCACAGACTCCTAATCTCACGCCGAGTATAGAAAGTCAGCAACCTTCTAGCTAGCCTCTAGCTACGCCTACGCCTATATAAGAGTTTGGAAAAGCTAGACTCCCTAATATTAGAATCTTTAAGAAAGGCTCACACGAAGAATACACGTAGTGGAAGATATAAATCCGTACGAAACTATCGGCGGATTACCTAGCTTACTCTACAGAGTTCTACTAAGCTCACTATGTAATCTCCCGTATGGGAGGACTAGCCTTTTTAGCATTATAGGCTTACGTATAAGACTTTACGAGCAGAAATCTATCACCCAGCTTAAGCAAGCTTTAGAAGCAACTAGACGCGTTCTTTAAAGACCCTTCAATTAAGTAAAAAGCTCTATAGTATCTCCGTACGACTAAGCAAGGAAAAGGCGAGTTTCTTTTCCACGTACGAGCTTTTAATCTAAAGTTCAACAAAGCTGGTTTCGGACAAGATAACGACGCGCTGAAAATTAACTATCTTAAGAATTCTCTTAATAGGAAGCTACTACGCTACTAAGCTGGGTACTAGCCTCCTTTAAACGAGACGTACGACGCCTTTGTTCATCGACTTAGGAACACTTAGGAGAATCTTAAGGTAATTAACCAACTCTCGTCTAACGCGCCCTCTTACTCAACCTCTCTTCCTACGTCTACCCCAGCTGCCGTGGACGAAATGGACTAGACGCCTAATGTAGGCGCTATACGTCCCTGTACGAGGAACGAGTACTAGGGTACACAAAGCCAAATTGCTCAACGCAAGAAGGAGGGTAGCTGCCTACGTTGTAGCATCTACGGCCACCTCGTACGGCAGTGTAAAGCAGCAGTCCCAAAACGCACGCGCAAGCCAGAGACCGTGACAAAAGTCCTAGCTGCTACCTTAGAAGACGAAAGCTCAGACAAGGGAAAAGAGGAGCCCTAGTCCAAAAACGCCGACTAGGGCAGCCAAAGCAGGTTAAGCAGGTCGTACGACCTGTCCAAGAGCTACTTCACCAACTAAAGCCTACTCAGCCAATGTCCATAGACGTAATCATTAATCTTTTAAAAAACGCTACTGCTATGATTAATAATAGGTGCTGCACTTATGCGATAGTATGTAAAAGACTCGTACAAGAACTTAACCTGCCGCGCGTATCTATCCCTACTAGGGAAATTGAAGGTGTCAATAACCAGAAAAGCACTGTACGAGCTATTACTCAATTTACTGTAGATATTAGAGGAATTAAGCGAAAAGCAGCCACTTTCATTACCACGTCCACGTACGAGTACGACATTATTTTAGGGAAGACCTAGCTTAAAGATATAGGAGGTGTTATTAATGCGGCCGGACAAACACTTCTTCTTCCACGTTACAATCTCTCTATACCTAGCATAGAGAGAACTAAACCACTACAGAACTTCGCTGCAATCTCAGCAGCCGCCTTTCAGGCCCACGTACGACGAAGCCGAAAACAGCCAGCTCTGCAAGTCTTCGCTGCCAGTCTCCAAGACATCGAGAAAGCTCTCCGTCCAAAGACGCAGCTAACTATAGCAGAAGTAACCAAGTCGCTTCCTTCATACTTGCGACAGTACGCCTCTCTATTTACCCCAAAGGAAGGAGACGAGCTCCCGCCCCTACGAGGTCCAGACGTTGACCACAAGATCGAACTAATCCCTAAAGACGATAGGAAGCTGCCAGAAGTCCCGTACAGACCTCTCTACAATATATCTAGAGATGAACTTCTAGTACTACGCAAGACACTATACGAGTTACTTAAGAAAGAGTTCATCCGCGCAAGCAACTCCCCCGCCGCGTCACCAGTCCTCTTCGTACGGAAACCTGGGGGAGGACTAAGATTCTGCGTAGACTACCGCGCCCTAAATACACTGACTCATAAGGACCGTTATCCTCTACCCCTTATACGTAAGACGCTAAATCAAGTTGGACAAGCAAAGTAGTATACAAAGCTTAATGTCACGGCCGCCTTCCATAAAATCCGGATCACGGAGGGCTAGGAATAGATAACTGCCTTCCGCACCCGGTTTAGGTCGTACAAGTGGCTAGTTACTCCTTTTGGGCTTACTAACGCCCCTAGCACATTCCAACGTTATATCAACTAGACACTGCGCGAGTTTCTAGACGATTTCGCTTCCGCCTACTTAGACGATATCCTAATCTACACGGATGGCTTAATATCCTAACATCACGACCACGTACGGCAAGTAATCGAGCGTCTGCAAGCTGCGGGACTACAGCTTAAACTCAAGAAGTGCAAATTTGACGTCCAACGTACGAAATACTTAGGATTTATCCTTAAAGCAGGGAAGGGCGTCTCAATGGACACTGAGAAGACAAGAGCTATTCAAGAATGGGAAGCTCCAGCTACCGTACGAGGCGTAAGAGGGTTCCTCGGGTTCGCTAATTTCTATCGCAGATTTATCCCTAACTTTTCAAGACTCGTAGAACCTCTCGTACGGTTAACAAGAAAAGACGCCAAATTCGAATGGGGCCAAGACCAAGAGCTGAGCTTTACCGCTCTTAAGGAAGCTTTCCTCTCTGACGAAGTGTTAGCTGCCTTTGACCCAGACAGACGGACAGTAGTAGAGTGTAACTTATCTAGACGAGTAATAGGTGCTGTACTTCTGCAAGAAGACGACGAAGGTACCCTACGTACGATAGCTTACTTCTCCCGAAAGCTACTAGTGCATGAAGCGAACTACCCAATCCACGACAAGGAGCTACTAGCGGTAATCTGCTGCCTGAAAAAGTGGGACGCTAAATTACGAGGCGTACGAGAATTCGAAGTAGTTACGGACCATAAGAACCTAGAATACTTCACCCACAAGCAAAAGCTCTCCGAACGCCACGTACGATGGAACTTGGAACTAGCCCGCTTCCCAAATATGAAACTCCGCTACCGCCCTGGCAAGGAGAACGTACGGGCGGACGCCTTATCTAGACGAGACCAAGATATGCAGAAGGACGACCTAGACGAGCATTCAGCATTAAGAGAATTTATCATGCTAGTGCCAGCCCAGACCCAGGAAAGTATTGCGGTTATGCCTGTACGAGACACTACCGACACTTAAGAAGACGTCTCTCCCCTAGTGTCGACTACACTGCCGCGACCACCACATTTTCCTACGCTCGTACGAGCCTATTAGGATAGCGCCGTACAAGAAGATTCTCTATACCAAGAAATAAGAGCGGCTGTACGGGAAGGAAAACGATCTCTCCCAAGCTCTCGTAAGATTGCTATCTCTTTAGGCGACTATACGATTAACGCTGAAGATAAGTTGTGCTGGCGTAATAGAGTATGGGTACCTAAATATGAACCACTTCGGACAGGAGTAATCCAAACTGCGCACCTGTCTCTGCTAACAGGACACCCTAGACGAGAGAAAACATACAGAATTATCGCAAGAGAATGGTATTGGCCAAACATGAGCACTAATGTACGCCGTTACGTACGGAATTACGAGCTATGCCGGAAAAGCACCCCCTGGAGGGACGGGAAACATAGGTACTTGAAACCATTACCCGTTCCTAGTCGTACGTAGCAACATCTAACAGTCGACTTTATCACGGGTTTACCTAGCTCTCAAGGGAAAACCAATCTTATGGTAGTAAAGGACAGACTAGGTAAAGGCATCGTGCTAATCCCTATGGACAAGATCGAGACAACAGACGTCGCTTAGGCCTTCGTACGGGAAGTCTACTAGCATCACAGCCTTCCACAGTCTATCACGTCCAACCGCGGCCCTCAATTCGCCAGCTCTCTTTAGAAACAGGTCTGCCAGCTACTTAGTATCTAGAGAAATCTCTCAACAGCCTATCACCCACAGACGGACAGAACAACAGAGCGCGCTAATAGCGATATAGAAGCAGTCGTACGGATCTTCTGCAACTACGATCAAGACAACTAGGCACAACTCTACCCTCTTTTAGAACTTATACTCAACTCCCGTACGAACACGATAATAGGAGTTTTACCTTTCTTCCTGCACTATGGTTACCATAACACTTCTTTCCCCCAGCCCCAAACGGTTACGCAAGCCGACGAAGTAGGAGAAGCTGCAAAGGAGATTGTCTGGACAATTAGTAATGCTACTAACTGGGCTATATCTGCCATAACCTACGCCCAACAAGAACAAGAACGACAAGCTAACAAGTCCCGCAGACCAGCGCCCACCTACCGCGTAGGAGACTGGGTATGGCTAGACTTACGCGATGTACGTACGGCTAGAAGTAGTAAGAAACTTAATTAGAAAAGCGCCAAGTTCCAGGTTGCTCGCGTACGAGACTCTTACTGGGTGGAATTAGCCGTGCTATAGGAAACAAAGACTTACTATGTAGACAAGCTCCGTCCGGCGGCTAACGACTCATTCCTATCGCAGCAGACGGACGACACCAACTCAACTGCTATAGTCGTACAAGATAACGAAAACAATGAGGAACACTTAGAGTAGACAGTACGAGACATCACGGACGAGAGAATAAGGCGCAGGTAAATAGAATACCTTATTTATTAGGTGGGCTACGACAAGCCCACATGGGAGCCCGCCGCCCATCTCGCTAACACTACGGCCCTACAGTCATGGTTGTCCCACACCCAACCTAGACAACAACCTAACGGACGACTTAGAAGAAACTAGCGAAGGTAGGCCCACCTACTCTACGAGCAGGGGGTTCTCGGCACCACCCGCAGCCGGACGACTACGCTAGTTGCCACTACTAGGACTGTTAGGGAGCCTCTTGCGCCCACCTCCTATACGAGAGACTGCCTGCTGAGTGACACTATAATGAGCTCCATGGTCTTACTAGACGTAGTTAGAGTAGGCTCTACCCCACTCACTGGCGATGGATACGCAGCCAGCGAATGCGGTAAACTCCTTCTCGCCTCGCAGAACAGCGGCGCAATTATTCGTATAAAAAGCCGCGTTGAGAGCGCCGCGGCTATACATAACAAAGGCCTTAAGGTAGGACGGACGGCTAGTAAGAATCTGCCGAGCAGTGATAGTCGTACGTGCGATCACAGGCGAGTAGTCGCGAGAGCCCGGACCGAAGACAGCATCGTACGGACTATTGCCGCGAGGGCGATAGAAGTAGTTAAAAACACGGCGAATATCCTCCTACGCAAGTTAACACCAGCCATATAAGAAGTTAGAAAAGTATTACGTATAGGGGTAACCGCATAAACACAGCGCAGCTTATCTATAACGCGCTGATCGAAGATAAACTAGACACGATACTCGTTCAGGTTAACAGCGCCTAGCATATTAAAAGTTAGCAGTACAGCGCCTAGCGTCGTACGAGTCAGAGCCTAGTAGGCAGCGTCGAAGATTTAGTTAGCCACGTTATTAATAGTGTTATTAGGGCCACCGTTAGTGCAAAACTGCAAACTGTTAATGTTTGCGTTGGCCTAAACACCGCGAGGGGGTGGTTGCGCTTTCGGCGGCATCGTACGAGTGTGGTTAGAAAGAAAAGAAGAAATCTATATAGTAGTGGAGTTAAATTAATTTAACACAAAAGAAGAAAAAGCTAAAGGAGAGAGACGGCAGCTCTACATATCGTACGGAGGGAGCGTTTGCTCTCGTGGAAATTCTCCTTCACTAGAGCAAACAAACGCCGCTACTCTACCGCAAGTTAGGCAGCCGCGTGCTCCTAGGAAAACAAACAAACGTAAACATGTCCATACGAGTGGAGGAGGGGAGTATTATAAAGGGCTGCGCCCGTAATCTCTACTGAAGAGGATCACGTGATCTTCGACCACGTGATATACCTTCTGTACGGACACGTGATCAGAAGCGAGCAGGTATAAGAGAAGTCTGTACTTAGTTATCTTCTCTTTTTCTTATCTTTTAGCTTCTGTACGATAGGTAGAAGCATACTCATTCGCTAGGCCTCTCCGCCCTAACCCCTAAGTATACGTCCAGTGAGCCCCCGGGGGGCTCACTGGAGCTATGCTTAGACCCATTGGTGCACCGTGCGCGTTACCGAGGGGGCTCACTGGAGTGATCGGCGGGGGCTCACTGGAATGATCGCTGATTGGCTAGAATTATAACCCTACCCTAACCCTAAGCTACCAGCCATCTCTTTTTTATTATAGTATGATATAGAAGAGAGAGATGCGAGAGCAGCGTACTTGCTATGTATATAACTATGCTTACTTATCTCTCTACCTATAATATTCTTATCTGCCGCGAGCATCAGCGTGCTATCTATGGCGTGGACGAGCATTTCAAGCGGTACCATAAG